GCTCCAAATGCTGTGACTCTTCAGCTCTTGAATCAAGCTGTTTAGTTCACTTAGCATATGCTTTATGGGAAAATTTTTACACTAATTAACTACCTTAAGCCTACTATTATTTGCGTCTACTAATTTTAGCGAAATCAGCAAAAGTCATGTTTAGCGTTACTAATTTTAGCGTTTTTAACCAAATTAACTATAAATAATAAACCATTATAATGAATAATTATTATTTTGGCGTCTATTTAATTTAGCGATTTAAAGCTCTCTCGCTAATATCACTAAATTTAGTAGACGCTAAAAATAGTAGGCTTAAGGTAATTTCCCATCCCTGTGGTATATTGTATCCCATTGTTGCATAGTCGTTGTGTGTCTGTTATACATTACATAATGCAAACTTCAACAACCTTAGGATAATCCTTTGAATAATCCTTATACTTGTACTGTGTTGCATACATTTAGATGTAGGTGTACTACATTTGTATGTATGTTATCTATCAACTTTGAGTTGATTCTGATCAAATCTCCATTTTATATGAATTTTAAAGTTGCTTGAAAATTTAGCCAATGACCAAATGCTATATTTTAATTAGTCTTTTACCAAATGTCATCAAAAATGACTAGGAGAGAATTCTTCATTTTTATAATGGCTTTTCATGTCTCTTAAGCTAGGCAACATGTTCTCTAAATCCATACATATAAATTAACATGTACACATGTAGATACTGTAAATAATGTAAGCCATTCATGTAGATAATAGACTAATTTACTCTAAAGTGTCTGTGTAGTTTTTTGAAAAGGGAATTGAGCCCTTAAAATAATTTTATCATAAAGAGAAGAAGAAAAAATGAATAATAAGGAAATAAGTTTGACAAAATGGGAAATAATTGTTCACAAAAGTTAATTTTTGGCACAACAATAACTGATGGAGACATTTTATTATAATTAAAAATATTAATGTAAAGTAACTATAAAAATTAAAATTATAATTTTTCACAATATTTACTGTAGTGTTTAGCTCAGCAACCAGTAACTAGTGGGGAATTATCAGCTGCAAATACCATAAAAGAATTCATTCTGGTGTAGTAGACAGAGAAGAACGGAGCCTAGAAAAACACTTCCGAGTCGCCAGAATTTGATTCGATTCAGGAATCAAATTAATTTTTAAAATACAATTGTAGACACAAATGATTTTCACTATTGGAACACAATTCACACAATAAGGAAACTTACTTGCGTTTGCAATTGAATTTTGAAAATAAATTTGATTCCCAACTGGAATCAAATTCCGATGACTCGGATATGGTTTTCTAGGCTCCGTTGTTTTCTGTTTACTACTCCAGCTTTTATGGTATCTCGGCTTTAGTCCACTAGCTTCTGTTACCAGGTCTAGCCAAGTACACGATACAGTTGCCTCTGTCTAAGAGTTTAGGTGTCGCTGTAAATGGAGTTTTGTCAGAGCATTTGATAGATGTGTTTATGGGATAACCAAAAGGGTCACCACCTTCCTCTTGAATAGGCTGACAGTAGGAGATGTTCTTGGACTTGTTGCCAGCCAATGGCTTGAGGTAAGCAATGATATAAAAAGCAGCACCACTGACTACTGCTGTCAATTTTGCTGTCAAGATAATTGAAGCTATCATGTTTTCTATGGAAAAGAATGATTTTGGGAAAATTATTACAAAATTGCTTACCAACAATGGCAGGAAAAGGAGAAACACCAGAAAGACTTCTGTACTTGGGTTATTGAGTAAGTGAGTATATGAACGCTCACGTAGTCTGACGGCTGCTACACCGTACATGTACATGTATATATACTTAGTATTAGCCGTCTCTCTCTGCTGAGTCATTA